ACATTCCTTCTCCAAGGTCATTTCTGTGGTTTTCTATGTGTCCTGCCTTTAACCATGCTGTTGGTGTGATTAAAGGAGTCTGTAATCTATCTCCCCTTGACCTTGAGATTTGGAATGGAGAGTTCATCTTTATTTTTGTTTGTTTCTTTCTTTCTTGAAATTGCTCCTGGCCAAAAAAAGGGCTTGAAAAAAACATTACTCTTCATAGCAAACATGGTGCTTGGTATATGAATTCCAGTTTTGAGTATTAATTTCACCTACCCCTTGTATATAAAATTAAAGAATAAGTGAAATCATAATTGCTAACTCATTTGAGATCTCCTGTCTGATGTCCAGCTTTTGTGACATAAAAATTTTAAAAAGATTACATTGAACACTTGACACTTAAATGCAGAGGCTAGATCCAGTGTGTTGTGGTAAGAGTTCTTCTGCAATGGTCCTGCTGAACCTGGGAGAGTAACGCTTTTAGAAGGCAAGGATTGGCAACTCTTTCAGATTTCAGAGACTCAATCTTGTGTGATTCCAGGTGCTTCTTCTCCACCAAAGCACGAGCCAAAATCTCATGAGATTGTTAATTTGAAGAGTTGTGCAACTTTTAAATTCAAGTTGCTTCAACATTGCTTCAAAATCATTTTAACTGGAGTTGGTTGTACAATTTGGGGAACAGCAGTTATGTTGGCACCCAAAAGCTCTGTGTTGCCAAGCCTTGTGACAAAGCCCAGGGTTCCTTCTGTTCCAAAAATGGGGGATCATCGCCCTTTTAGGTGCAATCAGATTTACCATATTTTGCGGAGTATAAGATGCACCGGAGTGTAAGAAGCACCAAGATTTTAAAGAGGCAATTTTTTAAAAAAAAAGTTTTTACACTCTGCAGACCTCCCAAAAATAGCCTGTCAAGGGGCACGCATAGCCTTTAGGAGGCTTATAGAGGGCTGGGAGGGGGGCAAAAATGAGCAAAAAAATGGCCTGTCTTTTGCTCATCTCTGCCCTCCCAAGCCCCCAGGAGCACTCTGCAAGGCTACTACGGCTATTTTTGCAAAGGGAGCAGGAGGCCAAAAATGCTGTATTCAGTGTATAAGATGCACCCAGATTTTCACCGTCTTTTTTGAGGGAAAAAGGTGCGTCTTATACTCCAAAAATACCGTAATTGTATAGTTCATTGTTCCTCAATTTGATACATTCTTTAAAGCAAAAAACAAACAAACCCTGAAAACATCTGAGAAAGTGACTTCCAGAAAGACAGTTTTGCCCTGGTGTTTTGAAATCTGGAGCTAGAGAATTATATTTTTGAAAATAATGTATCATTTAAATGTAATTGGGATGGTTTTTAAACGTTCTGGAGATGCTGGCCCTTTGATCCCTCAACGACAGTATCCTCAGTGCAGTTTGTGGCTTCCATTTTGCTTATTTGTAAGCCTGGTTAAAAGAATTAGAAAAAAAAGGAAGAGAGGGGGGAATTCAGTTGCTTTTCCTGAGGATCCTAGCTACAGAATAATGAGCATGACATAAATGCACTTAATAGCACGGGAAGCACCTCCATGTTTATAGGATAATGATTGTGGTAATCACTTTCTTTTTTCTCAAAGACATGTATATGTGTCCTGGTTTCTTATGTTTGATCATCTCTCCCTTGTTTAGATCCCTCTAGCTGAGATGGAGGCTTTGTCTCTGACGTCAGATATTCTCTCTGAAAATTCCTGGTCCTTAGCTCTGACGGATGACTCTTTACCTGATGATAATAACACACTCTTACTTAATGCCCTGGAGAGCAATGTACATACACTGGTCACTGTATTTTATGATGTTTACAGGGTTCTAAATACTGTTGTCAAAAGGGTAATAACAGCTATGGCATTTTCAGATGAGCAATTCTTAACCTTTTATTAGCATAAAGAAATCTGTTCCATTGGGATTACCCTCAATACTACCTCTGAGGTTGTATTTCTACTCTTTTATTATGGGTATCAGCCACTAAGAAAATCAGATTCTCTTGAAAAGTATATCAAGCCACATCAAAGTGATTGCATTGCTTACAGATATGTGGAAAATGTCATGATATAATGATCCCACTTTTAAATCCAAACTGTGCTACAAACAGGTGTCTAGGAAGTTTTGCAGGCAACGCCTTTTACAGTTTTCTCAACTTGTACTCTTTAAGTTTTTAATCAAGGATGGCTTTTTAAAACATTGTGAGACATGTTTACCAGTATTTTGAGCCCTGCTTTAACCATCTCCTCCTGAAACATTAGATATTATTAGCTGCTTAATAGCTTAATAGCAATCAAATGCTTTATTTCTGCTGTATAATAGGCATAACTCCTTCCCAACATTAAGTGGATCCATTCTTATTTTACTCTTGTTCACATATCTACCTTTAAGCTGTGTGTTGTGTTGATGAATTCTCTTATCATTTTAGTAGATTGCCATAACAGTTATTACTTAAGTGGGACGCATATCTTTTAAACCGTGACAATATTTCCCATCATGCTTCATGGCATCATTTGCAAAAGACTTAGAAGGCTTCGGTGAGAGTTTTTGAATAGTGAATTTCCATTTAAAATGGGATGCTAAATGAAGGGGAGCATTTTACTGTCTATCAAGATCAATCATAAAGTAGGATTATGGCTCTGGCAAACTCTAAACTCCCATAGATTACTTGCATCAAATTAGAAGTCAATCCAGTCACTTGGCAAAAATATTAAACTCTCTTACTTCATGCAAGCTGTAGAAGCTTGTAAACGAGTGTAAATATTATTTAAGAATGCATACCTTCAATATTAATAATTCAAATTGCTTTAATTTGAATTACTTTTATGTTATTACATAATATAAAAAATATTTCAACACTCTCATACAATTGAGAAACTTACATTTTTAAAATGTGGCCCTTTAATATTTAAAATATTTTGGAAGAGTTCAGTATATTAAAAAAATTCATCTTTTTTTTGTTTTAATGCCAGTTTCAGATATATCACATATATAAAATCAGTTTTATTTCTTCATAGGGAACTATGGGTATAATTGCACCAACTGTTTTTCACAGTATATTAAATTAGCAAATGTTATGGGTGGTTTATAATATTTAGACTTAATCTGACTCCTTATCCCCTTATCTCAGTATGATTTATTCATAAAAAAGTGAGATATTCATAAAACTGCTACTAATTAAGATTGGAATTTAAATACAACAATGGAAAACATTCTCTATTGCTTTTCATCTAAGCTATCAGGTCATTCTTACTCCAACAAGACCTAAGAACTTGTTGCATTTATTATTAACGGCGTATTTATATTGACTAATTTATTAATCTCCATGGAAACTTTCACTTTTGTTGTTTCAAATTGTACAGTATCCAATTATTTTACAGTTCTATAATTTGGCAAAGTTAAATATCTAAGAACACATGGTGCATTCATTTTTTTAAAAAAAATCAATGTTCTACACGATTGGGTTGGATCTAGACTAAATCACATCATGTCTTATTGAAATTAAAGGGTCTTAAGTTAGTAATGAGTACTACATCTATTCTTAAGTATCTTAAAGGTTTTTCAGAAAGAAGAACATTTTAGATGCCAAACCGAATGACATCCTGCAACTAGTCCTTCTATCCTATCTTAACAGATTTTAACAGATTTCTATTTCTGCTAAGAGAAATGAAACCATGGGGAAAGTAGGAATGGTTCTGAAGGCAGAGTGATGGAAACCTTATTTGGAAGTAACCTGTGTCTACTTAGGCTGACAGTATTGTTAGAAGAGCAAATGTATGCAGAAAGCAAAGATAATAAAAGTGTTTTTAAAAATACTATATGTAGACCACAGATGGAGCAGCTGATATAGATATATTCAAACCATAATGAATGGCAATTTTAACTTGTCAAATGAAATTCCACAAATTGAGCATATATTCATTGAAGCTGTCTGGGCATAGCTAGTATTTGCCATGAAATAAAATATATCACTGCAGTAGGGAGGGAAAGATAATTGATATAGCGATTCAACTGATTTTAATTGAATTAAGATATCATCTAATTTAAGAAATAAAAAAGACTTGATAGTCGTGTACCATGCATTTCACTCTTTTTATCTGAATCATTAGCTATAGATGAATCTAATATCTAAATCCTTAATTGAAACCAGAGTTAAATTCGGTCTATGTATTAGAGAAATTAAAAACTATTGGTTAAATCTACTGCATAATATGCACGCTATTTATGTTTTGTTTCACTATGAATTAGATTAGAAAATCATTACAAGATTTTCTAACAGATTGTTTTTCAGCTATTATGAAAACTAGAACGAGACCAGAGACTTTGGTAACAGTACATTTTTATTATTTAGATTTTTTTTATTTTAAAATGTATTTTCCTTATTGTTGAAGATACATTATCAATGTTCTTTTGTAATTCGGCTTGTATATGCAGGCATTTTTTAAAGCAATACAAAATCAAGGTCACAAACAGAATACGCATTCTATAATAGTATATTGTCACTATACATCATGTATATAATGAAATTGTCTATAGACAAACATAGCTCCCTTTTTGTTAAGAAAATTAACTAGAATTATGAACGGATTCCTGCAAAAGCTTCCTTTGAGCAGGAAGAGATTGAAAAGATTTGTATTACCGATTTAAAGGACTAAAGTTTTGCAAAGCATGCAATTGTTAACCAAGCCTTGAGGCATGATGCTTGTTCAATTAATCCTGAAATAGTCATGGTTTATTGTTGCAATGTTGTTTCTCTGTTCCCCTGTATTGTATATTTTGTTCTTAATGTGGTTCATTCTGTGTGTGGTGCTTTAGTAATAATGTAGGATTATTGCTTCCCGGTCAACTCATTTGTGCAATTTCATTTGGTTATACTAGAAGCTGTACAGCCTAATAAATTGCATGCTCACCACATTTCGTGTCTGTTGCAGTGGTTGTCGCCACAGTTCCAATAAACACATGCTTTTTTCCCACTTCTGTGACATTCTCTTTCTCTCTTTTTCTTTTTTTAGACCGATCTTCCTTCCATTAATGACCCCCTGATTCTCTCATCAAACCAGGATCTGCTGAGAGTAGGGAAGACTTCTGTGGGTCGCACCCACTCTCTGCCGAATGACAGCTATATGTTTCAGGCGCCAGATGCTGGCCCCTATGATGCTGGCCCCTTGGGAGAAAAAAACTCATCTCATCAAAAATCTCAATCAGGTACGAAGCATTCGCCTCAAAAAAATTTGTATTATTTTTTAAACATGCAAATGTGGTTTTCCGGCTAAAGCTTTATGGAAGTGTTAGTTTGTGTGCTTTTGTTAGCCTTGGATATAATTTGCAAGCTGCATGGAAGAGTCTAATGCTGATCAGAAATGAACAACTAAACTTCGGGGGGGGGGAGGAATCCTACCAGTTTAACAACCGGTTCGCTGAGTGTGCACTTTGAAAATTCACCTTCCGCATTACTGCTAGCAAGGAAAACAGCTGAGGCGCAGCAATCCACTCTGCCACGCCGATCAGCTGGGCTTTGGAAAAGGAAACAGGTGAGTATAGCGCAGGGGCGCGGAGGGGCACTTCAAATTCAGAGTGAACCTGTTTGCTCCCAGTTGATAGTCAGAGCTAGAACCAGTTTGAACCGATAGAATCCCACCCCTAGCTAAGCTCCCTTTGCCGAATTGAATGGTCCTTGTGCATAAATCCCCACAAATCCTGATTGCCTTGAAAAGGAAATGGATCAGTGGTGGGATTCTGCCGGTTCGCACTGGATCGGGAGAACCGGATGGTGAAATGTACTGATCCGATGAGAGGAGGTTCGACCTGTGGACCTGGAAGTAACTTCCGGAACGCCTGCCGTGGCCCTGTCGCTCCTTGCTCACCCCCGCCCGTATGGAATAGCAATAGCAATAGCAATAGCAGTAGACTTATATACCGCTTCATAGGCCTTTCAGGCCTCTCTAAGCGGTTTACAGAGAGTCAGCA